CCCCAGCTTCACTGCTCTTCTACGCTTCTCCCCGGCCCCAGGTTGCTATGCCACCGAGAAGGCCACCAGGCATATCTTCAAACGCCCGCCGGAGCAGCACATGGTGTTCCGGCACAAGGAGACACAGAGCCAGACGCCAGGTGAGCAATGAACGGGGGGACATGCCCACACTCCCAGCCACCTCTCCCCCGCAGAACATCTGCCGGGCAGCTGCACCCCAGCCCCCGGGGACACCACCATCTCCCCACAAGCTGCTTGGTGGCCCCGAGCACCCGCTTCTCCCACCCCAGGACCCAGCTCAGGCTGGGAGCTGCTGACGCTGGCACGGGACGCCCCCCTGCCCCGCTCCCCGCAGCGCTCACCCCTCTGCCCCTTCCCCTCCAGGTCCCAGCGCCTACACGCTGCCCAGGCTGGTGGGGCCCAACACCGCCTACACCACCGCCAGCCCCTGCTACACCATGGTGGGCAAGAAGAAGCGGGGTGGATTTGCCGAGGACCTCGCCAGGGTGAGCTGCTCTCCTCCGCTCCCTCCCGGCCCCACAGCCACGGCTCCCCCGGCTCTCTGCTGGTGGCCCAAGGAGCTGCCCTTGTTGCCATCTCCCACTGCTTCTCGGGCCGCCTGGCCCGCCCGTGCACCCGGCACGGACCAACACTGGCCCTTTGGTCCAACCACCCGCCCCCCTCTCTTACAGACACCGGGGCCAGCCGCCTTCCCCAAGGTAGACCTGGATGTCTACAAAACCAAGCAGCCCAGTTACGCCATGGCCAGCAAAGCAGGAATGGGAGGCGACCGCACGCTGAAGCCAGGGCCAGCGGACTACCGTGTGGGGAAGGTAAGGCAGCCCCCCGACCCCCCCTCTGCTCTGCTCCACCACCACCAGCCCCAACACCTCCCTTCCCCTCCCCACGGGGCTCCCCCGACCTCCCGGCTGCTCTCCCCAGGGACAGGCCACAGGATGGTGGGCTGCTCCCCCTCCTTGCCCACAGCCGGGCAGAAGGAGCCCAAGGAACACATCTGTGCCCTTCCCCGGCTCCAGAATGGTGGGCGCTCACACCCCACTGGCTCTTCAGGAGGACACCCCAGAGCAGCCCTTGCTCACGCCCCGGGGACCAGCTGGGAGGGCAGGGGGCTTCCAGCAAAGCCCAGCGGGAGCCAGAGGGGCTGTGGACCTGCAGCCAGCGCCAGCCCTGCCGGCTGGCCTGGGCATCTCGCCACCTTTGGTGGCAAACACAAGAGCTTGCCTTTGCACAGCCACCTAAAAACCCTGGAGGGATGTGTCTCACCCAGGGCAGCTCTTCTGGAGAACCAGGTGCCACACTCACTCACCTCCTGAGGCCTTGTTCTCTCTTCCCCTTCCAGGTGACGCTGATCAAACCTGAGGCACCCGCTTCCACCTTCGGCCTCCGTCACTCACTCTACACAACTCCTCTGATTGTGCCTCCCTGAGCAGCCAACCCCACTCACCACCTCCAGCTGCTCCCTCGGGGCAAAACCCTGAAGGATTCCCTTCTGCTTCCCCAAGACCTGCTCTTCCCACACCCTCAGCAGCTCACTCCTTTGACTAAGCTGTCCCCCCTTCTGACCCTCTTCTTCATCTTTGCTACCAGGGCATGGTAGATAGTGTTTCAGCCTTGTTCAATGTTCTGTTTACTCAAGTGTTACTTGTCAGTTAAGAAAAATAAAGTTTGTTCTCTGCATAAGGCAGCGGTGTAAAGGATCCCTGCACTCCCCATTCCCTCCCGCCATGGAGGAGGGTGCACAGCTTGTCCCCAGGCACAACCATAGGGTCTCCCACTGTCCAGCTGGTGTCCTTGTTGCTCTTATACTTGACTGAGTGCTCCAGGCAATGGGCTTGGGAGTACAGGGAGGTCCAGGTCAGCTGCAGCTGGTTGCCACTCATGTTGTGGATGCTCAGGTTGACAGGCACCTCTGGTTTCACTGCAAGACACAGGCGATGACTGGTGAGTACTGTCCTCATGCCCCGGTGGCCCTGCCATCATCTGGGACCTGATGGGGAAGCCTGGGGGACCAACAGCCCCACTCCTACCCTACAGAGGAGAGCAGGAGCCCCCCATCACTCTGTACCCAGGTTCTGCAGCTCCATGCACTTGCTGCGGACCTCCAGGGTCCTGCCACCAAGGCTGGCATTGAGGCGGACACAGAAAGGCTGGAACTGCCATCCTGTTCCATACTTTGGTGATCTTGCATTTTGGGCTTCGAAACCACCCTCCTGAGGCACCTTCACTCCCTTGCACAGGAGCCAGGCTCTCCAGCTTGCAGTTGACCACAGGAACAAGGGGCCTGTTGCTCCTTGGTCTTCCCAAACCAACCTACAGCAAGGGGTCAAGTGTGTCCATCAGAAACCAGCTGTGTCCAACCTCAGCATCCCCCACCCAGAGGTGAGACGGGGGCTGCCCGGCTGCCCCTGTGCCACAGGGATGGATGGAGGAAGATTCAGCTGGTGTTTCATCCAAACATCCAGAGGTGCCACCCAAAACGTGTGGTGGCAGCTCATGGCAGCCCTTGGCTTCTCTCACTGGTGGAGGTGGACTCCCACACGGAGGTCGCGTGTGGGACTTGCTCTGGTTGAAGTGGCAGCCGATGCTGATGTCCTGGTCCTGCAGGTAGTGCTTACACTCCACCATGGGGGATCTGTCCTACCTGTGCTGCAGCAGGTCACTGGGGCTCCCTGAGACCCCCCACACCCCAGAACTCCTCTCCCCAGTGTAATGCAAAAGAACCAATAGGCACTGTGCTCTGGCTGCTTCCGCACATGGAGATGGAGGGCACCTTCCCAGCAGCCCAGGAAGTTGGAGGACACAGAGGGGCAGTGTTTCCCTGGAAAGCTGGTGGTGTACTGGCAGCCAGCTGAGAAGTGGGACTAGGGCCGGGGCAAGGGTGCCGGGGAGAAAGAGAAGCTTCTGTCCCCTGTCTGTGCGTGGCACTGTGGGTGTCACCGGGGTGGAAATGGTACCTGGTGCCAACGTGCTGGCTGACGCAGGGCGGTAGGATCTGTGCATCACGTCCTGCTGCTGCCCCCCAACCCGGCCTGGCTCCTTCACCCCCCATAGCGAGGGTCCCTCCCAGCACGCTGCCTGCAGGCCTGGCTCCCCCGGGAGCTGTGGGGCCAGTAGAGCCATGGGGTCAGGAACCATGGGGCTGGTGGGGCCAGTGATGCTTCAGCGGTGGGATGGGAGCAAGGGCATCCAACAGGGGTCCCTGGCTCACGGGGTCTCTGGCACATGCCCTAATGCCTTGGTGGCCCTTACAGCCCCACGTCTTGCCCTCCGCGACATCTGCTGCCATGGGGCACTGCGGCCTCCCGCCCCCCTGGGGCCCATGTGTGTCCCCCCTTACCTGGGGAGCCACGGGCAGTGGCAAGGCAGAGGAGGAGGAGGACAGGCAGGAGGAAGGCACCAGGCACCACTGTGGCAGGGCTGGCTGTGGGGCACACGTGAACTGGATTCTGCGCCCACGCTGCTTCATGCCGTGAGGCACCGCCTGCTGCCATGGGGCCCACCCCATAGGGCACCCCACAGCGCACTCCGAATGGGACCGGGTCTCACCACATCGGGGCTGCACAGCTTGTCCCATGGGGGCTGGCCACCCTTACTGCCCATCCCCACAGCGCAACCCCCCACCTGCCCCACTGGGACCCTGCAGTTGATGCCAGGGTGCTCCCATGGCCTGCCCCGCCATGCCGCGGGGCTCACCCCTGACGGGGCTGCCCCCCAGGAGCACTGCCAGTGTGGGATTCCCAACCCACTGGGCAGAGCTGGGAGTCACTGGGGCGGTCCCAGGGGGCACCCCTCACAGGGGTGAGGGGGAGAGTTGTTGGGAGCTGGGAACTGTTAAGGGAGGTAGTTGTGGGGGGCAGAGATGGGGCGGGGTGGACGTGGGCACAGCAATGGGGCTGCAGTCGGGGGGACAGTGGCTGTGGGGCTGCTGGGGCAGGTGTCTGGGGCGGTGAAGGTGGTGGGGAGTGTGGGGGTGTGGGTGGGCTGTGGGGCAGTCCTGGGGTAAGGATCGCAGACTCGTAAAGTAGTTTGTGTTAGAAGGGAACTTTAAAGGGCATCTGGTCCAACCCCCTGCCGTGGGCAGGGACATCTTACAGGAGACCAGGTTGCTCAGAGCCCCATCCAACCTGGGCTTGAATATTTCCAGGGTTGGGGGATCTCCCACCTCTCTGGGCAACCTGGGCCAAGGTCTCGCCACTCTCAGTGTAAAACATTTCTTCCTTAGATCTAGTCTGAAGCTACATCTTTCAATTTATAATCATTACCTCTTGTTCCACTTGAATATGAGGAAGAACTTTTTCACAGTGAGGGTGACGGAGCCCTGGAACAGGCTGCCCAGGGAGGTTGTGGAGTCCCCTTCTTTGGAGGTTTTCAAGACCTGCCTGGATGCAGTCCTGAGTAACATGCTCTGACAAGCTCTGGGTGGTCCTGCTTTGGCAGGGGAGTTGGACTAGATGATCTCTATGGTCCCTTCCAACTCTAAAAATTCTGTGAAATTCTGTGAAATTCTGTCGCTACAGACCCTGCTAAAAAATTTGTCCCTGTTTTGCCTGCAGCCCCTTTACGTAGTCTCCCTGGAGCCTTCTCTTCTCCAGGCTGATCCCCCCTCAACTCTCTCAGCCTGCCCTCACAGCAGAGGGCCTCCAGCCCTCCCAGCATCTCCGTGGCCTCCTCTGGCCCTGTTCCGACAGGTCTATGTTCTGGGGTAAGGATCGCAGACTCGTAAAGTAGTTTGTGTTAGAAGGGAACTTTAAAGGGCATCTGGTCCAACCCCCTGCCGTGGGCAGGGACATCTTACAGGAGACCAGGTTGCTCAGAGCCCCATCCAACCTGGGCTTGAATATTTCCAGGGTTGGGGGATCTCCCACCTCTCTGGGCAACCTGGGCCAAGGTCTCGCCACTCTCAGTGTAAAACATTTCTTCCTTAGATCTAGTCTGAAGCTACATCTTTCAATTTATAATCATTACCTCTTGTTCCACTTGAATATGAGGAAGAACTTTTTCACAGTGAGGGTGACGGAGCCCTGGAACAGGCTGCCCAGGGAGGTTGTGGAGTCCCCTTCTTTGGAGGTTTTCAAGACCTGCCTGGATGCAGTCCTGAGTAACATGCTCTGACAAGCTCTGGGTGGTCCTGCTTTGGCAGGGGAGTTGGACTAGATGATCTCTATGGTCCCTTCCAACTCTAAAAATTCTGTGAAATTCTGTGAAATTCTGTCGCTACAGACCCTGCTAAAAAATTTGTCCCTGTTTTGCCTGCAGCCCCTTTACGTAGTCTCCCTGGAGCCTTCTCTTCTCCAGGCTGATCCCCCCTCAACTCTCTCAGCCTGCCCTCACAGCAGAGGGCCTCCAGCCCTCCCAGCATCTCCGTGGCCTCCTCTGGCCCTGTTCCGACAGGTCTATGTTCTGCTGATGTTGGTGGCCCCAGAGCTGGAGGCAGCACTGGGAGGTGGGGGGGGTGTCTCCTCAGAGCACAGGGGCAGAATCCCCCCCGCCTTGCCCTGCTGGCTATGCAGCTGGGGATGCAGCCCAGGATGCTTGGGGCCTTCTGGGCTGCCAGCACACATTGCCAGCTCAGGTCCATCTTGCCCCCTTCCCCACCCTCCCCAGCACCCCTACGTCCTCCTCTGCAGGGCTGCTCTCCATCCCTTCATCTCCCAGCCTGGACTGATAACTGGGGATTGCCTTGACCCAGGTGCAGGACCCTGCACTTGGCTTTGTTGAACCTTGTTGGCCTTGGTTGACTTCTCCCAGGTCCCTCTGCATGACGTCCCATCCCTCAGACGTGTCAGCGCCCCAGAGCTGGAGGCAGCACTGGGAGGTGGGGGGGGTGTCTCCTCAGAGCACAGGGGCAGAATCCCCCCCGCCTTGCCCTGCTGGCTATGCAGCTGGGGATGCAGCCCAGGATGCTTGGGGCCTTCTGGGCTGCCAGCACACATTGCCAGCTCAGGTCCATCTTGCCCCCTTCCCCACCCTCCCCAGCACCCCTACGTCCTCCTCTGCAGGGCTGCTCTCCATCCCTTCATCTCCCAGCCTGGACTGATAACTGGGGATTGCCTTGACCCAGGTGCAGGACCCTGCACTTGGCTTTGTTGAACCTTGTTGGCCTTGGTTGACTTCTCCCAGGTCCCTCTGCATGACGTCCCATCCCTCAGACGTGTCAGCGCACCACTCGGCTTGGTGTCATCTGCAGAGCTGCTGCCCTCAATCCCACTGTCCATGTCATTGATGACGATACAGAACAGTGCCAATGCCAGCATGGACCCTGAGGAGCACCACTTGTCACCCATCTGACATCGGCCCCTTGGGCCGCCCCATCCATCACCAGCTCTCTTGGCAGAGCTCAGCAACCCCTGACGTCGATCACAGCGCCTGCGTGGGTTGCCCCAGTGCAGGGCAGTGCCAAAATTGCCAATTTCAACCCAGCAAAGGTGAGAGTGGTGGGACAGTGTGGGGGGTGGCAGGGCCTGGTGCCTGTTACAGGCAGGTGGCTGGGC